CCTCCCCCTAGCGCAGCACTGTCAGTACTAGTGCTGAGCAGCCATTCAAAATATGCTCCCCTTTGCCGAGTGTCGACTTGAGGTGGGGTGGGCTGGGGGGTATGGCCGTGAGGAAGCTTATGTCTTCCTCACATGTCCTGTAGAGGTGCCTGGACTGACATCACATTCTGGCTCCCGGCACCTCTACAGGACATGCAAGGGAGCTGTGCAAGCAATGCACATATGGATGGAGCTCCATCACAGCACAGCAGCCCACACTGCCGTGCCTTCCATTGCAGTGCAACTTGGGTCGCAACTTAATGACCGAGGACAAATGTGGGCCCTTAGGTTACACAGTTTGAGAACCACTGCTTTAAAGTATGCAAAATCTCAAGGCACCCCAGTCTAACATGGAAAAAAAACATAAATGTAAAAAAATGATGTGTGGTCCCCCCAAAATTCAAACAAGACCCTTATTCTAGATAGGAGTCTGGTAGTAACAATTGGAGAGAAAGCAGTTGAGGTTTTTTTAGGCACTAAAATTAATTGACTAAGTCCAAAACAAAAAGATAGTAAATATATATAGTAAAATATATTATTTTTTTGTACAAAAAAGATAAAAAATATTAGTACGCAAATATATTAAAAAGGGACAAAAGACATATCGATAAAGAGGACCTCCTAACACCCATCAAGTTCCACAGCGGAATTTATAATAAACATGATCACAGAATCTCATAACATGATTGTGGCATAATCAATATAAGGATAATACAATATATGGTATGGACAATTGTAGTTTCAGGACAATAACGCTCATTCAACAGTATCGCCAATAACCTCAAGTGGAACCATATAGATGGGTGATCGTGCGATGATCGCAATGCTCTCTACGCGTTTCGCGCCACGCGACGCTTCTGCAGGAGAAGGAGGTGGTCTAAAGATCATATGAAGAAGGAACATGAGTGCTACAGCATTAGAAATAAAGATAAGATATCACCGCAGCGAAATGACAATTATCCTTACCCCCTCAGTACGCGATCATCGAATGCATTAACCAAGAAGTAGGGTGGATCAGGGAAACCGATAGTCCCAGGGTGGAGGAGAGTAAGAAACCAGTCAGGGGCTGCTCTGGTCCAATCCTAGTCCAGGTACGGGGGGTTTTGGCTGTTGAATACAATAGGTGCCAGTGAAGATTCTTCCATCCTCACTGTGGATTCCGAGATCTATGGGCTGGATTTAAGGGATTAAAGATATGTAATCACCTCCAGTAACAGGTAAAAGTTTGTTAGTGTATCCTGTTTAAAATGCGGCTTAGTACAAGTACTCAAATACTGTGCCCGTAGTACTTAGAATATGTTGTGGGGGTTTTTCAGTAAAATAAATATACTCTAAATTTGACTTTTGTTATTAGAAGCTGACTAGTGTGTCTTGTTATAATGGGCCTAATACAAGTGCTTATATGCTGGGTATGGACTGAGTCACCACCATATTTGGATTTATTTTTCTGTGATATACTGTATATACCTTCTAATGTTGATTTTCTTTTATGCAAGGCTGACTGGTGTGTGTCCTATTCAAAATGTGGTCTACTACGTGTGGTTAAATACTTTGTACTTCGTTACTACAATATTTGGTGTTTTTTTTTCCCTGTGAAATAAATATTACACATGTGCATTCAGATTCGGACGAACCTGCAAATTAACGAATTTATTAAATGCCCGAATATACTAAAACTATATTCGGGCATACATAAATTTGTTTGCAGAATGCGCGGCAGCCATATTGGCCGCCGCCGCGTTCTTCGCAGGTGCGCTGCCATCTTTGAGTATATCTTGAGTATATACTTTGAGTATATCTTGGTATCCGAATATAATGGCGCCGCCATCTTGATGTATACCATGATACACTCAAGGATGGCGGCGCGCAAGCACAGAACGCCCCAGCACCGCTCGTTCTGCATTTTCTGTGTGACATCACAGGCTGAACGAGCGGCGGCCATATTGTCCGCTGGAGCGTTCTGCGCAGGCACGCCACAATCTTTGAGTATATCTTGCTATACACCAAGATGGTGGTGCCCGAACATAGGGGTGCCACAATCTTGGTGTATACCAAGATACACTTAAAGATGGCGGCGCTTGTTCTGCATTTTCAGTGTGCGGTTTCGGATTTCGGAGGCTCGTTGCCTCCGAATCCGAAACAACAGATACATTTGTTTTCTTTCATGAAACGAATGGAAACGTTTTTCGTTTCCATTCATTTAGTCAGAAAACAAATTTTTACGCCGTGCACATGTCTAATACATATAGTCTAATGTTGATTTTGTTTTAATTAATAGCTGGCTGGTGTGTTTACTGTTCAACATGCATCCTAGTGCAAGTGCTTAAATATTGTGCAAGTAGTTAGTACAATATTTTGGTGTTCTTTTCAGTAAAATACATACATTCTAATGTTGATTTTTTTTATTAGAAGCTGGATAGTGTGTGTCCTGCTCAAAATACGGCTTACTACAAAAGCTTAAATCCTGTGTACAGGCCCACCACAATAGTTTGGAGGCTTTTTTCAGTGACTTAAATACACTGTAATGTTGATTTTTTTTGTTTTACAGCTGGCTGGTGCGAGTCCTGTTCAAAATGCGGCCTAGTACAAGTGCCAAAATACTGTGCACTGCATCACGACAATATTTTGCTGGTTTTTGTCAGTGAAACAAATACACTCTAATGTTGATTTTTTTTATTTAAAGCAGGCTGACATCTCTCATGATCAAGAAGGTCAGCAGCAGTGAGTTGGAAAAAAAAGATGGTCACTGTATTTATGATTGAGTTGGGGGGGGGGGGCTTCTAGATTCCGATATGCCTCCCTCCCACAGACCCCCACTACTAATGGACCAAGGGTTTGGGGAAGAAGCCATTGTCTTCAATAACACGGGTACAGGGTACAAGGTGCTGTGCCAGGGGGTCCCTGGATGGCATCCCACCCATGTTGAGGGCATGAGGCCTGTTATGGTTCAGGTGGTGGTGGCCCACGCTCACATTTCCTTTTCAGGCCTGCCAGGCACCATGTTTAGGAAAGGGTCTGGTAATGGGTTTTAGGGAGGACACCAAATTTGTTTTTGTTTTGTCAGTACGATATTTATGACTAGTCTCTCTGAATTAATATGCTGTAATTGTTTTTTTTTCACTACAAAACACGCCTGGTTTCTCCATCTTAGATTGAGGGCTGGGGAGAGGGAAAGGAAAACACAGAAATAATTTTAAAATACATGATGTTACCTGCAATTTGGTAAGATGTGTCACTGTGGGTGACGAGGGGAGGAGTTTGGGATTCATAGAAGGCAATGGATTTGTACAACCACAATATTAACCACTTGAGTTTCTTCCCCTGTGTACCCGCTATTAACCAGAGCTATGGGGCAATTATGATTATTATTATACAGGATTTGTATAGCGCCAACAGTTTGCGCCGCGCTTTACAATATAAGGAAGACATTACAATCACAATACAATTCAAGACAAGATGGTAAGGAGGGCCCTGACCGTGAGAGTTTACAATCTAAAAGGGAGGGGCAAGTGATACATGAGGAGGTAGCTGTGTGGGGATGAATTGTTTGAGAACATGAAGGTTGAGTGGTTAGGTTGAGGTGGGATAGGCTTCCCTGAAGAGATGAGTCTTTGGGGATCGCCTAAAGGCAGTCAGAGTGGGAGATAGACGGACAGGTTGGGCTAAGGAGTTCCAGAGGATGGGAGAGACAGTATAGAACACCTGGAGGTGAGCATGGGAGAAGTTGTCGAGGGGGCTAGAAAGCAGGAGGTCTTTGGAAGAGCGGAGGGGATGGTTAGGGTGATACTTTGACACAAGGTTTGAGATAGCTGGGGGCAGAGTTGTGGATGGCTTTGTAAGTCGTTGTTAATATTCTGAATTTTATCCTTTGGGCTATTGGAAGCCAGTGCAGGGATTGGCAGAGGGGAGCGGGGGGATGGAAGCCAGGGGAGGGATTGGCAGAGGGGAGCGGGGGGATGGAAGCCAGGGGAGGGATTGGCAGAGGGGAGCGGGGGGATGGAAGCCAGGGGAGGGATTGGCAGAGGGGAGCGGGGGGATGGAAGCCAGGGGAGGGATTGGCAGAGGGGAGCGGGGGGATGGAAGCCAGGGGAGGGATTGGCAGAGGGGGGTGGAGGATGGAAGCCAGTGGAGGGATTGGCAGAGGGGGGTTGAAGACACTGAATCAATTGGACTGAAGCATATAAAGTGTTCTTTAGAAGGCAAAAAAGCTAAGTCGAGGAGGAAGGGAGATGAGCCACACAGGGTTAACTAGGGCTTAATAAGGGATTGAAGAGGCCCTGTCACTAAATCTCAAACTAAAGTCATGCCTGAACAGAAAAGGGTTAATACTTACTCCTTCCACCACCCATGTTGCCGATATCTGCAATCTTCTAGAGCTAAGCTGGCTGAAACACCATCTGAATCTAAGACTTCCAGAAATGTTGGGTTACTGGTCCAACTCCCCACTCTGCACACTGCGCTTCCTACCTTCTGCATGACCAGTTCTTCACATTGTGGGATGTATGCAAGTGATTGATATGTTTTATGTCACACATAATAGTATTTTTGTGTTATATTTCCTCTAATATTTGTCAGGTATGTACTATGAAATCATCTGGGACGAATCCCTTTAAGTGTGAAATAATTACACAACCATTGCACGAGCTTCATCTGATAGGAATGGAGAGCTTTGCTATTGAAGGATTGAGGAGTGGTAAGGGTGTAGCAAATCCAGATGAAGCAGAAGCTCAGCAGGCGGTCTGGGAGCTGCCAATTCCACCATATGTCTAGAATTCAATCCAGACATATAATGGGTTTTTTGAGGATAATGACATTGACTCTGACTCTTCCTGCTTTTGAGTTGGTGAATGTCTGGGACTTTTTTCATCATTAAAAGAATTTCTATCAACTGCAGGAGCCTTTACAGACTTGTCCCAGGACTGCTCCGTAGTGAGAGTTGGTGCAACCAGAGCCGGTATCAATAACCAAAGGCCGAAGATACGACTGATCCAGAAGGAACATGCCCCAGACCACCTCATGGTTCATCCTCCTTTCCCTCCTCCCGATAGCTCTAGGAGAACACCCTACCATAGGTGTCCCTAATGGGGGGCCTTGGGGGGAATGGGGCCCGTTTGAATGGTGTCCTTGTGGTTATCGTGCAAGAGGATTCTCCCTCAAGGTGAGTGGCCTACACTCCAGTTATTTGAAAATGGTTCTTTATAAAGGGGATGTCTACATGGCCACCCAAATTGGATAACTCTGCTTGGCAGATGCTAGGGAGCCTAATCACATTTGGATTGGTTGTGACACTAATGCCCTGCGGATGAGGTCTCTACACCTTTGTTCCAAGCCTCGCCCCGGCACCTTTACTATAAAGTCTCGCTCTACCTTGTTGAATTTTTACATATTTTTGTATAATGCAGAAAATGCAGCATGAGGTGTAAAATTAGGCAACTGAAGCACAGAGATTTTAAAATGCTCCAAATGGAAGCTGAAAGGTTAGTGCTGGGTGGAATATCCCTTCAATTACGTTTTGTTAAAGTGACACTAAACTCAGGAGTTGAATTGGAAAAATGCATCCAGGCACTTTAACGATTCATAATAATGTATCTTATTTGTGTATCACTCGGCTGTAGAGCCTCAAATCATCTCTGAGTTGGTGCCGACACTGTCCTTCCTTCTGGAGGGGGGCTACTTTTCTTCCCCATGGTCCCTGTGTGTGTTGTAAAGTAGTCACTGCTCCAAACTCACTCCCGGGATGGACTACAATCTCCATACAAATGAGTAAACTAAACATGAGATTGTAGTTCCTCCCGGGAGTGATCTTGGAGCGGTGACTACTTTATTAACACACACACAGTGACCATGGGGAAGAAAAGTAGCCACCTTCCAGAAGGAAGGACAGTGTCAGCACCATTTCAGAGATGATTCAGTTTTCTAAACCAATTTATATAAAAATGGTGTTGGGAAAGTTGCATGAATATGTAGCTTGTTCAGGAAATTATCCAAATAGAAGTTTTGTTCACACAGATTTTTTTTTTCCGCATGTCATTTTTATTGAAAATTTTCCAACATTACAAAACAGGCAGATTTGCAGCAATTATTACAAGTTCACAGTAATGAGAAATTGCAGAGGTTTTATGCGGGTAAACATCAACAAAATAGTAAGTATAGCAACAAGCATCACATTCACGATCGAAACCATAGAGCATCATGCACGTAAATCTGACTGCAAGGGGTAAGAAGAGCATAGCATGGGCTAGTCTAGTTCATATCTCATAGGGGAACGTCAAAGGACATCTGGAGGTCCCAGTGATGCAGTTAATTTCGCCTTGTGGTACCACTCCGTTATTAAAGATTTTAAAAGTAACAAACACGTTACCATTACTGCTGCACATGTGAGATCTGAAAATATGTAGATGTGGACAAGGATATTAATGAACACATTGGCAGAAGACAAAAGTCCCAATGGTATAAGTGGCATGGAATGACACGCTCAGCAATAGTAGCATTAGAACTAAATCATGAGAGGGACAGAATAAGGAAAACTAGAGAGCAGAGGAGATAGAACAGAAAAAAGGGGGGAAGATGAAACGGAAAAGAGAGAAAAAGAGACCATGACAAGGGGGACACCAGGATAGGAGGGGGGTGAGATGTTTTATACAGTGGTGAATGATATTGTCCAGCACACACAGCTAACCCACCCTCTCTTTATTGCCTTTGAAGAAGCCAACCATTTTCTACCCCTTTCCACATAATTTATTTCCACATCAGTTGGAAACTGGGGGTAAAACGACATGGTGCAATGGTTTGAGATTTTTCTCTCTATGGCTGAGCAGAAAACTTGAAACTGCAGAGGAACCCATCACAACCAAAAGATCGTTTTTGAGAAAATATTCAAAACATCTAATATGAGGTGCACAGCAAAGTCCAGTGAAGGCAATGCTGGCCACACACACACACACACGTATCAATCTTGTGGATATTCTTCTTCCTATACAATCATTTATTTCTTGAAAGTGTAGCGATAACTCCCCACAGGGAGCCGCTGATTGCCCGCTCCTCATCTAGTCAGTCTAGGGGTTGATTTTTCAGCCGCACACATTAGCACTAACCGCCCATAAATTGATGTCCACTTCAGGATTATGATGCTACTTGAACAGTTTATTGAACATACTCTGTGGGAGAGAGGGTATAGGGTCTAGGTGTACAGGTGTACAGGCTTTCATAGCTCCAGACTCACCGGATCTTATCTTCAAGGGAATAGATCTCCACAATCCATGAAAGAACACTGACCCCGCTCTGACGTCCATCTAAGTCCTTCCATCGTTCAGGCATTCTCCTGACTGTAAGCCTCCAAGGAAGCCTCTCCTTCGGCAGCTCAGCCAATTCCCACCCCCAGGCCTCGGCCTAGCCTGGGGGGCAGGCTGAACAGGACCCAGCCCTAATCCATGGCTGGTCCAGACGAGAGAGCTAGCACATGGCAGCTCCCACCCATATATGTACACTAACCCAGCAGACACCCAGTGGTTGGCTGCTGTACTGTACACATATTACAGTGTCTCCTATTGGCTGTCCCCCAATATGACAGAGTCTCACTCCGCCCAGGGGGGGTACAGACTAGACTTCTGCGCCGTCTCAAAAAATTTGTTCCGTTTCATTTCGTTTCGTAATATCCATTATTTCGTAATTCGTATCCGAAACTCAATTCGGACAAAATACGGATTTTCGTTAGTTTCGGCACATTTTCGTAACTTTACGAACATTCGTTATGATGAAGTTAAAAAGCAAAAATACCTTTGTTAATATTGGAGTCGATGTGGTAGTTGTTTTTGTATCCGAAATACGAATTCCGTTAACGGATTCCGGATCCGAATTTCGTATTTCGGACTTTAAAAAAAACTACCACATCAACTCCAATATAAATGTACTTTGCTTTTTAACTTCAATATAACGAATGTTCGTAACGGAACGAAAATACGCCAACTTAATTTCGTATTTCCTGCCTGTGTATTGTAATGCAACCCTCAGCAGCAGCGGATCCGTATTTCGGATTAAAAAAAAAAATCTTGTCATGTTGTTCAACCTCATTTACAGGGGTAATATTAGTTCCCGTTTCAAAGAAATTCGGATCCGAAATTCGTTAACGGAATTTCGTATTTCGGATATAATTCGGAAACTGCAATTCGGATTTCGTATGCTTCCGAATCTACGAATTTCAGGAAAATTCGTACGAATTTCGATTCGTAACGAAACGAATTGCACATGTCTAGTACAGACAAGGTTAGACACCTGGGAATTAACCATGTACCTGCTTCTACAAATCCAGCCAGGCTGTCTACAGCCCCGGCTACCACTAAATGCATGGTAGTCCCATCTCAAAAGGTGATGGGCGCTACAAAAGCAATCTTTTGCCTGGACACACACAGTTCTACAGTCTTTTGGGTTCCTCTACAATTTTTCTGCTCCACCAAAGAAAGTAAAAGCACAAACCATTGTATCATTCCCCCCAATTTCCAAGTGATCCCTAAGTATATTACGTCAATATATTTAAAAAAAAACTACTCAGAAATCACCTCAATTTGCAATTAAAAGACACAATTCAATTAAAAAAGATTATAATTTTGGTCAATTTGTATTTTTTATGTGATTCCAGGGTTTCCTTAAACGGTTACATTGTGTAGTTTGGGATTGGGCATAACACAATCTTTGATTCTAATCCAATGGGATGAATCTTTGAAATCTTTTTCATTGTTATAGAAGGGAGGAATCACCTGTTGGGTTTAAACATTTAGGGCCAGTTCCCTGTAATATAATAGAGGTTCCATGAAGAGCCTAGCAGCAGGCTGAGCCAATGCTACCACAGAGAGGATCATGGGAGGCAGGCAAAATGAGACAATGATACTAAATAAAGTTTTATACCTTCCAACTCAGAAACTAATCTGCACATCCAGGATACCTTGTTCTGGTTGATAGACCGCATGCAGAACTTCCTTTGTACCTGCTACTATCTTGAATTTTTTTAGGTTGTTCTACTTGAAATGTATTCGCAGGTTGAAGAAAGGAAGAACATCGAAGATGACACCGCTCTAAATGGGATTCGTCTGCTTTGCGTGAACCGCAACGATACAGATCTGGAGAGCAACACCGTGTACCCCATCCAGTCTGCCGAAGCACCGTAAGAGCACCATAACCTGAGGGCCTCTTGGGTTTGGGGCTTAGCTGGGATCTCCAGACATTTAAGCGTCCACCAATATCAGCAAGGGCTGTAAGAAACTGTGTTTCATTTAAAGCTGATCTCCAGGATTTTAAAAAGTTAACCCTTGCATTGGGGCTACCCCCGCGCTGCAAGGGTTAGCAGCTTGTTTTGGTCTAGGGGTGCAAATAAAGAACTTATGCTTACCTGATCCTTGATCCCACCTAGACTGGTCCCTGCAGCGTCTTGTTTCCCCAGGCTCCGGCGGTCTAAGCCCCACTGACAACATCACATCTATGCTGGGTCCATTCACTTGCAGCAGACCACTACCGCTGTTACCTGCCGGCGGCCATCTTGGTGATGGACACTGGCAGAGAGGTCGGGATAAGGTCCCCTCCTCTCTCTCTCTCTCTCGAGCAACTGTTGGGCTCTTGGCCCATGACCCAGAGGGGGGGTGAAACAAAAATGACTGTCAGTCATTTTGGTGTCACCCCTCCAATTGTGTCACACTGGTGCAGGCCGCACCGACCCCCGGCACCCCTCCTAGTGACGCCACTAGTCTATCTTCTTTTTTTCGATCCCTTGACCAAAAGAAGCAGTTAACCCTTGCCATGAGGGGGTAGCCCCACTGCAAGGGTTAACTTTTGAAAATCCTGAAGATCTGCTGTAATGCAAATTTAGGTGTACTCTCACCCCTGCCTCTGGTAACACAGTGTTGCTCCATGTGTATGCTAAGTATTGAGACTGGATTCACACTTCTTCATCAATGCATTGATGGAAGTCACCATCCACACAGTTGGCTGAAAACTGGACCCCCCGGGCCCCCCAGCATTCCCAAAATTCAAACAGCAATGTTGGATGATCAGCTTCTAGGGCTTATTAACCCCTGTGTGTAACCCCTGTGTGTAACCCCTGTGCGTTTTTACCCTTCAATTAAATCAATGGAAAAGCAGCAAAGCCAATGTCCATACCCATCAACTCAGGAGTGTTACAGTGCACTTTGTACTGCATGGCATTGCAAGTCATAATGCACATCAAGGCATGTTGGCACAGCATTTGTTGAGCTGCATTATGCAATATGTCCCATTGACATGTATTTTGATGCATTTCCATTGATTTCAATGGAAAAACACTCAAGGAGGAAGCACAAAGGTCTAAATCCAGCTTCAGAGGTTAATTTTACAAATACATATAGAACAACACCCCCAGCAGGTGCGTACATCAGGTTTTCTCAACCAGGGTAACGTTGCACCTTGGGGTGGCTCCTGGCATTGTCAGGGGTACCTTCAAATTTTTGGCGGACTTCTGATGTGAAAGTGGGGACTCTGATGTGAAGGGGGGAGGAGCGCTGATCTTAAAGGGGACTCTGGGGTGAAGGGGGGGGGCTCTGATGTGAAAGTGGGGGCTCTGATGTAAAAGGGG